ACGAGTGTTCGGGGCAGAGTGTGTCACATCTGCACCTGAAAATCCGGCGCACATCTGGCCCTGTGATATCAGGCTGACATTAACATGACTTGATATGAAAACCTCATCAGTTGGAGACTGTTCCCCTGAGGATTTCATCGCTAAATGAGGTCCTTTCAGTGGAGGTGGTGGTGTTAATATCTGTGTTATGGGTTGCAGAATAAATGCTGTCACAAGTATATTAAGACAAATGATTGTGTAATTGTTTGGAAACACGTAACGCTGCAGCTGAGACGAAGCTCGTGTTCCGTGCGAACACAAAGAGGATGGGAACGTGAAGCTGATGCTGCGTCAGTTCAATGGCAGGATGATAATTACTTTAACTGTAAGAGTCGGACCTTTGGCTCGACAGTGGATGGAAGTCGGTGGCTACGGTGGAGCGACTAACAGACAGAGTTCGAGATAAGATCGTGAGCGGCATGATAAGGCTGGGACCGCCTCTGAGCGTGCAAATGAAGCAGCGCATAGACGGGTAACAACAGAGCTCCAATGATTAAATTACAAACAAGGGGACAAAAGAGCTCAGAGGACGATAAGAGACTGATACAGGGCTCCGTATGAAATGAATCAAACCAGGAGCAGAGAGAAGATGAAGCGAACAAAAATGTGAGCGATTGAAAGACTGATTGAAGGAATGGAGGTAAATACAGAAGGAGACAGAAAGGGGGTGGAGGGGGTGGAGATAGAGAAGAGGATGAATAACAAAGCAAAGCTAAGTTCAACCAGGGGCCAAACTGCATATACTGTACGTGCACATGTGACTCTGCACCACCACAGTGCTGAGATCTACATATCACCGCGTTACACATGTCTTCATTATCCCTGCTCATAAATAAATCACTATAGGCTTCCTACCAATGCGGAAAACGCCTGGAGACACACGGCCCTTAATAATAATGGATGATGCCCTGTCTTCTGGACAGCAGATTAGTGGATTAAAAAGAGAATGTGTGTGTGTGTGTGTGTGTGTGTGTGTTTATCGATGGGAAGTCCAGGAGTAGCTAAAGGGCAGCTGAAGAGCGATAGCCTTCTAATTAACTTCATTATCTATCTGCCCATCGCTAATGGGACATGTGCAACTGATTAAACCGCGAGTTGCAGAGTTGTTAAGAAAAAGAAGAGGAGAGAGAGAGAGAGAAAAAAAAAAAGAGGAGGTTGGGGGTCAATAACAGCTGGAGATGAAAGAGGAAGATGAGAAGAAAGAAGGGAAGAAGGGATGGAGAGAGAAGAAGGAAGCCGGATGGGAAACGAAGAGGGGAAAGAAGTGGACAGGAGCAGGAGATAAGAGGATGTAAGAAAAAGATGAGAGATGAGAGGCAGAGAGCAGAAACCCGGAGGAGAGAGAGGAGATGAGATACAAGGTCAGAAAAGAGCAATGGGGAGGAATTGCATGAGAGGAGAGAGGTGAGGTCAAGAAACGAAAGTGGAGGAGAGCAACAGGAGAAAGAAAGGAGAGGAGAGGGAAGAGCAGTTTACCTTGACCGTCATCTCCGCAACAAAAATGGCAGTAAAGATGTAGTTGGAAATGGTGAGAAACACTCTTTCCTGTAACAAAGAGAGAGAGAGAGAGAGAGAGAGGACAAAAGGCTGAGAGAAGAAGAAGGGAAGGAAAAAAAGCTGTAGGGAGGGAAGGGAAGAGACAAACAGAAGTGGTATAAACCCAGCCTGAGCGGAGAGGACTGACCCGGCTTCACTCACAAGCTTCAAACTACAATTTGAAAAAAAAAAGCACAATCAGTTCTGCTCCTCTGCGAATTCACTCAAAGTTTTTTTTTTTTTTTTTTGTTGTAATTAAATTAGAATCAGACTCAGTTACCAAATTAAATGCCAAATTTGAAAAAGTTGCTGCGTTTTAATTTGGAGGCGTCAGATCACTTCCTCGAAAAAGTGCTCACCATTCAATATTCGGGAGCTGATTGATTACAGGAAAACTGGCCTGACGCCAAAACTCAGAGAGGACTCGGAGCCGGGGGAGTTGATTCTTATTCGTTTTAAATATCCGTTGTTTTTATTTTAAATCATTTTTTTTTCTTAACGAGCAAAGAATCGTTAAGAAATAAAACTCATTAAATAACTGGTCGTTATCACAACCAGAAAAACGTCTACTGAGCCTGTTCTCATTTCACATTTGTACTTGAAAGAGGGAGTTTGACACAGAAATGGAGCAGTGGAAATGCAAAACTGTGAAACTCTACAACTCTGAATCTTTAAAATCCTGGATCTGACTATTTTCAACGTGCTATTTCAGTTTTGATTGGAATTGAAATTGAATACTGTGCTATTACCTTAAAGTTATCATATGTAAGTTTTCCATATTAAAATGTCTAAAAATGACTAGACCTACAGTATGTTATATATTTTTTGAGTTGAGTTCTCACATTATCCCAATTACTTTCAGCAATTTTCAAACTTTGAGAAATCTGTGATTTTAATTATGGTTTAACTGTCCGTTTCATTTGATCATATCCCCTATGTGCATGTGTCGTTGCTGTGGTTGCCTATCAGAGGCTCACAATGAGCTTTTATCCAGTTTTAAGCCACATTTTTTATAACTTTATATATACAGTATATATATTTATAATTCTGTGTTTCTACCAGTTGTAATCAGTTTGTTATGGAGAGGAGGAGACCTCTGCGGATAATTCAGCTGCTGGTAAAAACCTTAAGAGCAACAAATTTAAAGGACAAATCAGTAAAGTCCCTTTAGTCAGAACTGTGAAATTGTTTCAAATTTTAGTCCAACAGCCCCGTGTGTCCAACGCCCCTAGGTACTCTCAGTTCATCTTCCAGGTCCTCACTTTCTACAGAACAACAAGTCCTGTGCAGAAAACACAGTTCTTACCAGGCTGCCCTGCAGAATCTTTGGCCTCTCCAGAGCCACCGTGATGCAGTTGAGGAAGATGAAAACCAGGACCACGTAGTCAAAGAGCTTATGGGCGATAATGGACTGACAGAGCAGTCTGAACCTGATGAGAGAAGAAACAGAGGAGGGCAGAGGAGAGAAGACGTGACAGAGTTAGAGCAGTGGGAGAGGAGAGTCTGAGGTTTGTTGCTTCATTTGTTAATATAATAACTGAGCTGAAGATTTTCAATCCTCCTACAAGGAAACTTAGGGCAGCTTCCTTAAAATACCCCACTGTAACATCTGATATGCTGCAGTCAGTATAATTATTCTGCAGCCACCAATAAATAAATCTGAGGGGGTGCAAGACGAGGAATGTATTTTTATGGACTTTTGGCCTCTAACAAAGAGAAAAAGTCTGAAAAGTTTTGAGCAGAAAATTCCTCCAAGGTGGAACTGCTCTCACCTGTACTGTCTATACAGCAAACAGACACTTGTTCAGTGTAAATGGTTGCGAGCCGCAGAAGGCTGGGGATCACTGGCGCACTCTGAAAAGACTTTAACATCTTCAAACACCTGCAGCGTTGTTGTCAAGCCGTCGGCTCCGGAGCCGGCACAGACGGTGTAAGCAGCTCCGGAGCGAAGCCCTCACACATCTCCTCTCATCTGCCAGCTATGAAAGGGAGCAAAATATACCTATAACTGCTGCACCTGCTCTCTGGGTGAGGAAATCAATGTGCTAATCTGACTGCTTTTCCTGCAGACCTGGCAACTCTGTCCCTTTTATCTATCGATTCAAATCTGGCAACCCTGTCCCCTGGATATCGATCGTGACCGACGGCGGTGCTGGCGTAGGCACTTACGCCGCCTGAGACACAACTTGTGATGTTGGCTCGTTCCTCCCTTGGTTTGTTTGTCTGCTTCGCTCGCTTTTAATTCTGCTTAGGTACAATGCGTGCGCGCGCGCACACACACACACACACACACACACATATGCTTCCGTGCATGCTCAGGCATGTGCAGCACGCCGAGGCATAAACAAGACAAAGACGCACATATGCTCACGCGCTCCCACGAGCACACATGCAAAGTCAATCACCAAGAAATGCACAAACACGACGCCACCGCAGATACGGCCTGACGGTAGTGCATACACCGCCAACACACACACACACACACACACACACACACACACACACACACACACACACACACACACACACACACACACAAACACACACACACAGCCCTCGCTTGACAGATGGCACCTGCCAGGATGCCAAAACACAGCCCTGGGGCCTGGCTTCCCTTAAGTGGCTATCAGCACGCAGGGAATCGGGTGAGTGAGCGAGTGGATGACTGAGTGATTTTTCTTTCATGTTGCTTTCTACCAGCAATGGACTGAAGGCAAACATAGTTGAACACGCACACAATCACACACAGACACACACATTGGAGCCCAGAGTCAAAAACACTATCTAGAGTCAAAAGAAATGCTTTGGAGGAAACGAAACGCACAGTGACATCACTTTAACTAGCCATTTGTGAAAGTAGAAGACGGCAGTTTTCACAGTGTGTGAAGAGACAAATGGTTTGACTGTGCAGCTCCATGTTCCCCGACATCATCAGGACAGAGCGGCTAACTGTAAGTACTGACGCATCCAGCCGCTGAGAACCTTTGCTGCACATTTTTGGGTTCAGGTCAAATTCAAATTTCCACTGACTAATGTCAAATAGACCAGGCCAGCTGCAGACATCACCACTTCCGTAGGGTTCATTACAACAGGCCCCCCAGGCCGCGGAGCCACGAGGCAACATCACGTTCATCTAAAGTCCTTAGTCGTCCACTCACTTGTTCTGAGGGGAGAACATGTAGACGGACCACTCCTCTCTGGTTTCACACCAGTCCGGCTTGTACACCTCCATCATCTTCTGGATACGGAAGCACAGACTCTGGAGGAGACGAGAGGGAAAAGAGATGAGAGGAACGGTAGATGGCCGCGGGTTCTATCCATAAGATAACTGATTATGATCACTGGCTTTAGGAGATTTCTGAAATTAAATTTAATTAAATTTCTGCACTAACTGCCATAATGACTTTGATTTAAGTTTTGGTTTTCACTATTATCTAAGAATTTTTGGAACCTCAATAAAGTGCATCTACCACTTGCAGCCTCTCATTTTGACACGCTGCAATAAAAAGATGCACAACTGCTCTTTTAACATCTCTCCTAAAGCTCAAGTGTCTGGTTTAGCACCTCGTTCCTGCAGCATTAACAGAATAAAGTTGCACCGTATCATCTGAAGAGGTGATAATCATTCGTTTATATGTTGCTTTTATGGCGTTTCTTCTTTACTGAACCCCAGTGGATAAAGGAGGAAACGCTGATAACTAATGTCGATCTGTGCCACTCACATAGTCCGTCTCTTCATCGAGGTCCGCTCTGTCCTTGCGCGCATTGACCTGAGGGAAAACCTCGGCCATCAGATGGGTGTGGGCCTTTCCGTTACAGTCCCGGTGGTCCACTCCAAAACCACTCCCAGCCCCGGACCCCGCGGTGATGGACCCCCCCGCCCCGGACCCACTCCTCCTCCCGGGGTCCGGGTGGACGGGGGGCAGGCCCAGGGGCTGTCCGCCTGCCCGAAGCAGCTCTGGGAGCTCCAGGGAGAGAGCCCGCCGATCCCTCCTCGCCGCAAAGTGTCTGGAGAGGAACAGCGGCGGTGGCGGTGGATGATGAGGCAGCAGGGGATGATGGGAGTGGGGCGGGTGGGAGAGAAGGGACTCCTGCTCAGCGGCGTAGGCGTAGGAGTGGGGGGAGCGGGTGCTGTGCACACGGAGGCTGCCTCCTACCAGAGGCGCCCCGCCAAACCCGTAGCTCCTCCGGCCCAGGCTGTTTGAGCTAGACCTGCAGAGCAGAACTATAATTAGGAGGCGTTCAATATTAAAGCACAATTATTAAAGTATCAATAAAGAGATGATCAACACTTCTGTATATTAAGCATTTAGTCATGAAGCTAATAAGAGCATAAAACAACAGCAAGAGTTTGATGTTTCCATGTAGGTAATTAAGGCTTAATGAAGGTATTAAGAATTCATTAAGGCAGTAGCTGAAATCAATGGCTGAAAGTAAATCTAATTGTCTACCTGCGGCTCCACGCAGAGTGTGGATGGAAAGGCCGTCCCCAGTTGTGGTAGTTGGAACTGCGGCTGTGGCGCTGCAAGAGACACAGAGCGGTTCACAGTGATTACTGAGGCGCTGCATATCTCCAGGCCGCGCAGCGCAGCGCAGCACACCAACACAGACACAGACACAGCAAGCCGACGGCGACCGGATGAACATGTCACAGCTGGAGAAAGTCAATTTATGATATGTGCTTCTCTGTTGAACGAGAGGTCGACGCGGTCAGTTATCAGTTACGATTACCCATCAGTTCAAAAACACTGTGTGTGTGTGTGTGTGCACAGGACATCAGACATTTAAACATGGAAAAACAGTGAGCATAAGACACGTCATCATGTCATCCCCGAGGACGACAATAAATAGGTGGTGGATCAACTATATGCGATCGCAGGCGCCACGACAGCTCAGTGCAGTATAGATGAGATTGTTTTGCTTTATGTTGCTATACGTGCTACGTCTTCTTCCTTGTCTTTATTACTTTTAATGTAATCCTGTAATACTTTGAATGAATGCACACACAAAATTTGAATCTAAAAAAGTAGAATATAAAAGGCATTAAAAGTATATTTACTTCCCTGCCCCACACAGGCTTTTAATTCTTGTGTATGTGAGCGTATATGTAGGTGTAAGTGTGTCTCTGTAAACGTATATATGTGAATGTCTTTATATTTTATTTTATAGTAGTTGTATCTTTTTTTGTACAAAAAAAAAACACATACAATAAATAAATATTTTAGTTTTTTTCTTTTACAAGACTGTAGATGAAAACTCTGGCAGTTTGACATCATGATGATGTAAATCAATGGATATTGTCTCCAATAAATAAATAAATAAAATAAAGTCAAATAATACTTGCAGTTGTACAACCATGACTTAAGTGTACCTCAGTCTTTACAGTCTGTCTTCAAACAGCTAACAATGGGACCTATTAGAGCAAAAGTGAAACACAGCCCGGTCTGCCACAGCGGAACGACTCTGTAAGACCACTAAGTATATATAATATGTGCTAACGTGCTGTATGAATGTGAGGCTGGACATCGGTGGAAAAAGAGGAGGTTACTATAGGTCAATCACCCATAAACCAAAGCAGATAAAAAGCTGGCTGAACAAATGAAATATAAACTGGGCTTTGCAGTGCGCTCAGCAGGCTGTCATCAGGTTTAACATGCAAACCCCTGAGTGCCAGTTCCACTTAAAGGAACATAACCAGTTGTGTTTGTTTCCGCATGTCTAATCCTTTCAACGTGATAGACCTAATTATATGTTTTACCCTTGAAAACCCACGTCGCCAGTCGGAGCCTGAGCCGGTGCCATATACCAGACAATCTATGCATCCGTCTCTATAGAAACTGTAGTGAAGCGTGCACGCTAGATGTTAAATAACACCTCAGTCCACGCAGGACTGCACTGCAGATCATTTAAGAGGACACTGAGTGTGTGTGTGTGTGTGTGTGTAAGTATTACTGTCAAGCCAATTTGTTCCTCGCTATATGGCATAATCCACAGACAACAGCTGGTACTAATATACTGTATATTCTGTACTGACACGCGCTGCCAGCCGTACAGCATGTACTGCAACTTTCCCTTCTACAGAATGTAACTGGGCCTGCATCGAATCAAATCACAACTGCATCATGCAAACAAGGGATAAAAGTGTTACTGAATGTGCAGCTTTTTCGCAGTGTGTGAATACTGCTCATTTTGTTACGTGTTATATTGATTCATAGGAAGAGTTTTGCCGGCACCAAACTGAAAACACATTCCACCCCGATCCAGATCGTGTGGTCATTAAAGATAAGGGAACTGATTGATTAAAGGGAACATGTTGCCATCCTGAATCTTTTCCTTTTTAAATATTATTCCTCTGGACAAACAACTATTTTGCTTTTACTTCTGTTAATATATAACCTTAAAAAATGACAAAATTGTTACTCTGGATTACTTTTTTATATATAATTTATTCAATTTTATCATGCTGAAAAATAATATCTTTAAGCCCATTGTGCACTTTTTTTTTATGCATCACAATCACTGCATCATAATCCAGCCGCTGTCCGAGCTATTGTGCGAGACACATGGACAAAGCAGCACGCTCTTTACACTGATGAATTAAAGCGCGATTGTGCTGCAACATAATAGGCTGATGCATCATTCCCCTAACTTTCATCTGAGGCCAATCAACAGTATCCAGCACACTGTGTAAGAATAAAACAAGCAGAACACCCGACGAACAAATGGAGGCGACTCGTGGTTCAAAGTGTGACTTCACCGAAGACGATCAAACACCATCAACGGCTGCAAAAACTTTCGCAAAACTTCAGTAAAATATCATGAAATTCTTGTATCTTGCTTATTATTCAAACACTTTTTGCTCCGAGTGATGTGACTGGCGCCTTCTGATATCTGAGCGCCGCGAGAGACACGGGGGGGGAGACACACACACACACACACACACACACCACAGCCAAGTGGATCTCCCACACCCACTGTGTTTAACATTATAACCTCAGAGCTACGTGTGTTGCTAAACCGCAGCTTATCATTTGTCTTGTTCTCCCCTTCTCCTTTATCATCCTGTCACTGCATCAACCTCCCCCCCCACCCCCCCACCCNATAATTCCTCCTCCTCCTCCACTTTATGAGATTATCAGACAATGGGCCCCTGGCCAGTAAACCCCCCCACCCAACCACCCACTCTATCTCCATCACCATCTCTCTGTTCTGTTCTCTCTACCTCTCCCTGTCGCTCCTTCCTCCCCTCCCTCGTTTCTCTCCGTTTCGCATTGGATAAACAGAACATCGGAGCAGTCAATTAATAGACGTTGCTATGGCAACCGCGTAGAACTGTTTCAGCTTCTCTCTCTCTCTCCTAAGGTTTTTTTTTGGTTCAACAGGCACGACACTGGTGCATGCCTACTGTGTTTGTGTGTTTTAGACTCACACACACACACACACACACACACACACACACACACNGTCCGAGCTATTGTGCGAGACACATGGACAAAGCAGCACGCTCTTTACACTGATGAATTAAAGCGCGATTGTGCTGCAACACAATAGGCTGATGCATCATTCCCCTAACTTTCATCTGAGGCCAATCAACAGTATCCAGCACACTGTGTAAGAATAAAACAAGCAGAACACCCGACGAACAAATGGAGGCGACTCGTGGTTCAAAGTGTGACTTCACCGAAGACGATCAAACACCATCAACGGCTGCAAAAACTTTCGCAAAACTTCAGTAAAATATCATGAAATTCTTGTATCTTGCTTATTATTCAAACACTTTTTGCTCCGAGTGATGTGACTGGCGCCTTCTGATATCTGAGCGCCGCGAGAGACACGGGGGGGGAGACACACACACACACACACACACACACACTTCACAGCCAAGTGGATCTCCCACACCCACTGTGTTTAACATTATAACCTCAGAGCTACGTGTGTTGCTAAACCGCAGCTTATCATTTGTCTTGTTCTCCCTCTCTCGTGTTCATCATGCCATCTCGAGCTGCGAATCCTCACTCACACTCGCTCCCACCACTCCCCCCCCACACACAACCACCGCATTCTATCCCTACCTCACCATCATACTCTGGAACCTCGTCTCTCCATCCTCTAACCTCGCTTTGGTGTCGTCTGTTCACTATCTCCTCGACACTTTCACTCCGTCCCATTCGTTTATGTTCTTCTCCCCCTTTCGCTCAATTTGGACTAAACAGAACATCGGAGCGCAGTCATTATAGACGTTGCTATGGCAACCGCGTAGAACTGTTCAGCTGTCTCTCTCTCTGCTCTCCTAAGGTTTTTTTTTGGTTCAACAGGCACGACACTGGTGCATGCCTACTGTGTTTGTGTGTTTTTAGACTCCACAAACACCACAAACACACACACACACACACACGCACACTGTTAGATGTCTGTGTGTTGAGTGTATGGTGCAGGGATGATCTGACCTGAATAAGGAGGAGCAGGCTGGCTGTACGGCAGCTGTCGCAACTCACAAGTGCAAGGAGTATTCTGTGTCAGCTCCATCAGTGTTTCTCTCCGCCACCTTCTTGCCCCAGGAGTGAACCCCCCTCTTTGCGTTTAACTTGTGCTAATTTATTGTCACTACTCATATTTCTACCACTGAGAAAACTCAAAATCTTTTGATGCAGGTTCATTTTTTACTCTTATTGCTCGTCTTGTCAGTAGTTTTTTTAATCACAAACATTCAAGTTTTTCTGGAGCTTTTTAATTGAAACAGATTATTTTTTTCAAAGCATACTTGTAGCTTTTTAGATCAATCACAGATGCCTTTCTTTCTTCCCAACAGGCAGCAAGTTGTACAGAATCCACATTATAAGATCTATAATCCATTAAGTGAATGTTTCTATTATAAGTTGTATGAGCGTATGTTCAATCAGGAAGAGCCTCATTCATTCACGATTCTCTCTCCCTCTCTCCCTCTCTCCCTCTCTCACCTCACTTCTTGAAATCAGCTGACTACAGGTGTTTTCGGTAATCGCATCTCAACCGGCCAATCACAGTGACACCACGTTGTCACTGTCCAACTTTACAGTCTGTTCTCCTCTCTTCTGCTGTCAGCTACCACCTCAGTGAGTATTGTTGCCCATTCACCTCCAGGCTTCATGTCCAGCGCCCGGGTCGAGCTCATCAGATCTCCAGCATTCTCTTCTCCCCACCACCACCACCAGTGTCTAGACCCTGGGGGGGTTTTCCTTTACTTCGCACAGCCTCTCCCCCTTTTCAAATAAGGTGACATCACAATCGGCTCTAATTGCTAAAGACTCTCACATCTCTCACTTTTCTTCTCTTGTTTTGCACTAGGCAATAAAAGTTTATCTGTTGAGTCAGACTGAAATATTATAGTTGCATGTTTATTTCGCTGTCAGGAGAGATTGTTGATGGCTGCGATCAAGCTATCTTTCTCTTTTTTCTCTCCAAGAACCCAACAGATTCACATGACCCATTTTTTTATAAGATCTGTGTTTGTCCTCGGGGTTTGATTTTTTCTGCAAACACACCACCTCAATCTAATGCAAACCATGAGGCGTGAAATGAAATACAACTAAATGTTTACTGCGGTGGATTCTCGATCTCGTGCCAGTTTCAAGTCAAGTACAAATAGATTTCATATCACACACTGACAAGAAGTCAAGCCAGTCTTTTCTGGAAAGGAGGGAAAACACATTCATCCCTCTATAAAGCTGAAATGGTTTACAGAGTGATGGCAAACAGCTGGGAAATGGTTGGCAGTGACACAAAGTAGGCATGTGATTTGTAGTGAATAGAGCTGACATAAATGTGTGAGACTCGCAGTTGAAATGTTAACTGATACGTCTCCTTCTCTGTGCGTTTGTGCGTCTGAGTGTGAGTGAATGATTACCAGAGAGAGGGAGCGTCTCTCCAGGCTGCTCTTGCCCAGGCTCATCACACTGCTCTTTCTGGACTCGACGGTGAAGCTCCGCCTCTCAGAGGAATAGGATCCCCTGGGTCCCGAACGAGCGCCCAGCTCCAGATGGCCATTGGGCGTCAAGGTGCAGATCCTCGGGTCTGGAGGGAATTGAACACAGAGAGAGAGAGAGCCACTGAGAGAGTCTCTGTGTTACTTTTGTTTTGTGCCACCCACCCAATATATGCTGCTGAATCCCCTACTACCCATTCTTATGCACTTTTATTCTGTAGTATATCTAAGTTAGGAAATCACAATCTTAGAAAACTTAACACCGGCCGTTAGTAAACTGGTTGTGAGTTTAAAAAAACGCTTTGCATTCTGGGGCCAGTTACACAAAACAGTTTTCAACATGAGACACTTAAATAACTCCCTCAGCTAAGGAGAAATTAAACCTGAAGGGTGCTGCACAGGATCTAAGGTTTCCTTAGTTAAGGGATTAAAAGAAGCGAAAGAAATTTTACAGTTTAAATTCTACTGTTTCCATGGAGATTGTTTGTTTGCTGCCATTAGCAGTCATAGGTCTTTTGTGCAATGGTTTAACTGACATTAAGTGATTCCACAAGTATAAGACTAAGATAAGGAGAAAACTTTAAATACCCAAGTGAACATTTTAAGGAAACCATAAGGAAAAGACTTAAGGGGCTTTTGTGCAACTGTTTTTAGTTTAAAGGTTCCTTAAATTGGACTTAAAGGAAAATCTTAACTTGCAATCGGCCCCTTGTCAGTGGAATAAGACAGTCTAGAAATCTATACTGATAACTGTTTTCCAAGGGCTAAGACTAAATTTAGATTCTTTTTGTGTATGTCATAATTCCAATTATTCTTCAAAGGGGAAAAAAACCTAAAAAAAAAAGAAGATAAAAGCAGAAACTTAGAGAGAGGCAGAGAATGAAAAGTCTTTCCAACCACACAGAAAAGAAGCTAAAGCTAAACCAGTGAAGGTAGCACCTCTGTGCTGTGGAAGTGGACAGACAGTAAGACAGCTCATTGTCTTTCTAGCTATGAAGAAACAAGCTGCAGAGTTTCTTCCTCGGCTCATACTGCACTGCAGAGATCACATCTCCTCTGCAGCAGAAGCCCACTCACACTCACAAGTGACCCCCCCCCCGCTTAGTATCTGAACTCCTGGTTAATCCTCTCTGCACCTTGTGCTGTCTGTCGGGTCTGTTTGTTGGAGGGTTGCGTAGCTGGAGCAGGTTCATCGTGAGCTCTAGATTAAGATAGAGCTCATTCATATTTGAAGACTTCTGGCTATTCTATTCGAGTTTCTTGCGAGTTTGCGAGCCTCTGGCGCGTACTCCTGTCTTACTTTGTTGGCTTTTTGGGTTGAACATTATGCCTTCCTCTTGAATACGCCTCACAGGGGAAAGAAAGACTACTGGTGTGAATGTGAGACGCGGGGAGACTGTCGGGAGTGTTGTTCTGTTTTGACATGAATGAGGAAATCTGGGGTTTATATTGTGGCGTTCGAGCTGAATGAAACCGAGGATTTGATTTTCACATTTTAAATTCACCAAGTGAAAAGAGCAGTATTTACTTTTGCTTTAACAAATTACACCCTCTGAATACATTTATTCTCACACCTGTGGCTGTGACAAGATAACACTTTAAATGAATAGATGCAGATTTCTAAGATGCTGACTTGTTCAGGTTTCATTTTTGAAAGGAGATTTCAGGTGCCTGGTTTCTGGGATATAAGCGTCTATTAAAAATAGATTTTTAGTTATCTAAGTTAATAATACTCGACTTATTCAATATACACTCGGTTGCCAGGTTACTAGGTACCGCTTCAATCTCTAAAACTGGTGCAATAGATCCTACCTTCATAAAGGTTAGTTTATGTTGAAATTGTTGACTTTCATTGATATAAGTGGGATGTTAAAATATTTTAAATGCCAGTTTATCATAAATTACAGTTTATCATAATACACCTCAACACTGCCACAAATTACAGCCCCTTAAATGACCATGAAGTTGAATCAAAACCCTGTAAAGTTCCTCTCCAGACATGTTTTAAACTATATCAAAATATTCTGCTGTGATTAATATATTTTTTTTAAAAGGTTTTCCCACATAAAAAGTGAAAAAAAAAGAAATTAAAAACTGGGGCTAGAAGCACTTCTACACTTACTTCCTCAATAAGTCTGGATCAGGCATTGCTTTCATGAAGGTAGGAGTTATTGCAGATCTGTATTTGTTTTAGTGCAGTGCACCAAATAAACTGGCAACTGAAGGTAATTACAAGGCCGAGGGAGAAACGTGTCATCAGCTCACCTGACAACTTTATGGAGTCGTGTTTCTCGCTCTCGTCAAAGTTGGAAGAGGAGCGGTCGTCGTCCGAGTAAGAGCGATTGGCGTCTCCCTGGAGATGAAGAGTCATGACACAAAGAGAAGAAGACAGAGAGGAAGACAGAATATTACACAGGGTTCATGTTATATACAGTATGTATATATATATTATATATTATATATATAAACTTATAATATTGGTACTTTTTTAATATACAAATTTGATCAAATCCAGCATTATTAGATATTGCACCAAGCATGCTGCATGCTGATTGGCTCACTGATGCTGATGAGATTTACTCATTTACTCCTTTGATATCGAAATTTGGCATTTTTCCATTTTTTTTTTTTTTTTTTTTGGGGGGGGGGGGGGGGTGTTTATGCCTTTATTTTGACAGGAAAGTGAATACAAACAGGATATACAGGAAGGAGAGACATGCCGACATGTTTATATGGTATGTGCGTCAACCACCCCGCCATCAGGTCGCCGTTCCATCCTTGATGGTATCAAACCAATTCTGTTGGTTCTGTTTGTGTGACTCAGGACCTTTCGTCTCCGCCTCCATTGCTCTGCTCCCTCCCGCCAAACATTTGATGTCGTCAGGGTGGCTCAGATCAGTGTTGTATCTTATGATTAAATCAGTAAAACCCTCAAACTACTGACACACTACTCTAGTAACCCCACTGGTGTGGTTAAGACCAGTGGGGTTCCTCCCCTTCACTCTGTATGATGGGAAAATCTGGAGTAAATTGGCTCAATAATCCCCAGTGAGCAGCGTAAGTACATGCAGGGTGGATGAGCAGGGGAAGGTGAGACAGCCAGAGGGGGGAGAGAACGACAGTGAGATAAAGAGATAGAGAGAGAGGGAGAGTGACAGGGAGCGAGACGGTGAAAGACTGATGGCTGTTTTGTTTTGGCATTTCAAAAAAAAGATCAGTGTTTCCCCCTCCAACTCGCACATCACAGCTACACGCCATGAATACGCTAATGCTTTGAACCGTGTACGAAAACTCAACTGGGTTACCGTGCTAACCGCACTACAATTTTCCAATGACACGTCTGTGAGTGTGACAGGTGACGGCAGACTGACAGCATAATTTTCCGCTGTTTTCCACTGAGATGGATGGCTTCAGAAATCACACCGTTGTGTTTAATACACCATTATTATGTTTTGACTGCAGATAAAGCCTTTAACAAATAACAGACCAATATGGTCAAAGTATTATTATTCATACAGCATGACAAAGATTTTAAACCCGTGAATCCTGGGGTTGTTTTTACTTGGTTATGACATAGTTATTACATGTTGTACATTATTTACAGATTAAGTTAGGCTACTCACAAGTAACAGTAGTAAACATGATCTAAGGCCATTTATTATAATAATAATATACATTTTTGGGGGATATCCACAGGATGACCAAACAACAAATACTTATGATATACAGTGAATGGAAAGAGACTAGCAGACTCTATGATATTGGATGTACTGGGTTTTCAATGGATTTTGTCATTCATGTTTCTCTTATTTGTGTTAAAGGTTAATATGATCTGAGGTTGTGCCTATATGTTCTCTTCATGCTTTGGGTAATGTAAACAAGTGTAATGTTATCATATATATGTATATATCTTGGACAATATCAACCACCCTCTCCACAACATTCTGGCAGGACAGAGAAGCAGCTGCAGCTGCTGCAAATGTCTCATCTCGCTGCGCTGCAGAACAGAGAGGTTCAGGAGATCCTTTGTTCCCACTGCCAGCAGGCTATATAACTATATAACACCTCAGCCAAAGGAAGTGGACTAATTTAATTATTATTGTTTATTATTAACTATTATTATTATTATTACTAATGAGCTACTGGACACAAATAAAGTATATATCTATGTATCTCTATAGCTGGTCAGTTTACTATAGCTGTGGGCCATACCTGAGTCCTTCATCTTAATTTATCTATTTATTTTCTTATACACTTAATATTGTTTACATTCTGGCAAATCTGAACCATGTGAAGTCATCAGTCAGTTGCCATAAGTTTCTGTTTGCACTGTAGCGATGAATGTACAGACAACAGACCTTTCACACTGAGGAAAATGTCCAGATTCGCTGATTATGAGGCAGAATCTGAAGTAGCATCTTTTTCAAGTGGATTTATGGTTGTTGACTCACATTCACACAAACTGCTTCAGTTCGCTTTCACAGGGTTGAACAGCAACTGGTTCATTGAACAAAAACATGATTTATATACTGAAGCATAAGTGGGCAGATGCACACAAACAGTCTGTTGAGTCTACTATGTAGCAAGACAAGATAAAAGAGTATATTGTGAATGTTAATGGGCTTGTTGATCAACCTTACAGATACATCTGTTACTGACCCGTACAAGACCTTCACATTTCCCACTCAGCAATGAAGGATAACTCAGACACTTAGCTGCAAGAAATTGTAAAGAAGAAGAGCATCTAGCGGTTCGGTCTAGAAGCATTGTTGTACGTGAGCATGTGAGACTTTCACATTATTACTAACTAGTCAATCTGCTCAGTTCTGTAATTATGAAAACCAGCAGGGCACAAGAGCCCGGGTTCATTTTAGCTGCAGGGGTCTCTGCTAAAGGTTAAAGTCCACTCGTTGACAGACACAGACAGATGGACGTCAGCTGTCCACAGAAAAAGCCATCATGCAGAGAATGGAGAAAGAAAGTTTGAAAGTTTATGTGAATCACAGAGTTGTTTGACACCATGACTTAACAGGCCACGTTTTGGAGAATGAAAACTCCTTTCCTAAATACCAGAAATGTAGCACTTGTCTGAAGTAAATTATTGAATTATTGAGAGATGAAAACTTGTTTCCTGTTATAGCGATACATGTCAGTGCAGTGTTTCCCTTACATGTACTGAACATATTTTAGGGAAAGTCACACATGGTTTCACATGGTTCATCAATATCAAATGACAAAATGTAACCACCGCAAGTTGTGCTTTCTACACTGCACGTAGCTGACGTCACTGTTTAGCAGGCTGTTTGCAAGCGTATGTGTAACATCCGGCCAGCTCATTCGGAAGAAGTGGCATGGGTCAACGAGGGTGTCCCACCAACCTCCAACTGTTTTTGAGAAATTAAATATTAAAATTTGAATCATAAGCCTATTATGTCAGCATCCTGTGGTCTCCTTTATTTGTACATTGTTTGTTAGTGCTTCATTATTTCTCAAATTATCACAATTTAGTTATTTAACGTGTAATGCTCATAACCTGAGAGCATCTACAGTGATTCTAAGGTTGTTTTCGCACCAAAATACAGGTCCAGCATCGCATGCTTGTGGACGTATACACAACAGCTAACCCTGCAGCGATCACTTCCTGCGGTTTGAAACCATGAGTTCCCGTACCTCTGCCTGAAAGCCTTCAACCAAGATGGCCACCAGCAGGTTGAAGAGGACGTAGTTTCCAAAAGTCATGAGGGCCACAAAGTAAAGAGCTGCGAGGGGTGAAGTAGCTGCCATACCATTGTACAAAACCACGTTCCAGTCCTCCTGGGTCAGAATCTGAGAGAATTACACAGAGAAAATCGCACTTTCATACAATAGTATACAAATAGACCACTTAAACAATTTATTAACTAAACATTTATACAAATACAATTTAGAGAAAGTGCCCTCATCAGGCCACCACAGAGCTCTGTCATTGGTGTGTTGGCATCAGATATATGTGAAAGTAAGTGAGCTCAAACATTTGATTTGAACTCATTACGGAAAAGTTTACACCATCATTTCAGGTGGTCTGATTTACAGGTTATAGTGTCCATAAAAATCTGTGCAGAAATGTATTGACTCTTAAGAAATATGTGTCAGTCATCTGCATATATAAAGACATGCAGCGTGCATGTGGAGCAGATATGCAGAGATATGTGTTAGTGTATTTGTCTGCATTGATTACCTGGAAAACAGTGACAATGGCCCAGAGGAGGGAGTCAAAGTTCTTCCTGTCTGGTACTGTATCACCGGTCTCTGTCTTGAGACTGAACTTACAGCCAAAGATGTGCATCCCCAGGATACTGTAAAAACAAACAGCCTCTGATTATGTTAATGTACCTAACACACTGTTAATGTAACATCTTCCGTACTTAACTAATAATTGATTGCGGATCTTGTGAGGCACGATGAATACAAGGCCTACTTTTTTAGAGTTATGGATTAAGAGACATTGGATGATTAAGGCTTTTCTTTGTCTCAGCTGCTTCGGATTTCATAAATGCTGCCTTCCTAATGCATCTGTGTGTGTTATCAGTTGTTTTTATGCCCTGGCTGCAACTAAACACTTTCTTGTCTGGGATTATGAAGATAAATGTAAATGTTTCAATGCCACTGAGCCCTAAAGCCTGCTTACATAAGATGTCATTTGCTCCAATGGCCTTGTTGTTACTGTAAAGCACCGCAGTAAACATTTAACAGCACAGGTGTTTTGATCTGCAGTTAATTGTGCACAATCGTTACATAGACAACAAGTCCTTGCAAGGTATCTAAGAGGCTTTATACAGCATCAAATTGTGAATACTATTAGTAATAGAGATTGTAAAGCATCCCTGCTGTATTTGACAACCATCCTGAGAACAGCACTGTCATGGACAATGCTTCTACAAGCTGAGTTATCAATGTGATAATTATCAAGGAGTTAAACATGACATAAACAAACATTAATGGTGTAATGCACCTAGGATGTGACATTTTCTGCCAGGCTTACACCAAATAAATTTTCGTGCAATTTCAATGTCACAGACTAATTTCCATTGTCTGAATAAGATCATTAAAGTCTTGCTAGAGTTGCAGCACGCTCCCGTCATCTTGATCGTTTGGTGTAAGGTGATAGTCCCAGCTGTCTTAACTTTTTTTTTTTCATCTTGACTTTCCAATAAAATCAAACATGTTCAATATCATCACCTTTTTTTTAGTTTTGGCTCGTGAAAACAGTGATGTTCAGTGAGGTGAACACTGTCAACTCCAACCACAGCAAAACAGGAAGCACCAAAACCGAGCTGACAGTGAGCATTGAGGCGACTGTGGGGGGAGTGTGGGTCCATTGGTGTAAGGCAGGCATTAAATACATAAGGGAGTAATTGGACAAAATGGAAAATAATTTCAAAATAAAACAGGAAATCATAAATACAAAGTCAAAACACATTAATTTTAGGGGGAAATCCTGACTTATATAGTGTTGAGTTAATAACTTTAACTTTCAGAGAGCAAAAAAGTTCTTCCCGTAAATGAGAACCACCAGGAGCATGATGGGAAATAATCTCAAAGGAATCTAGTCTTGCAAATAGTGACCCTGCAAAATCCCCAGTCTTTACAAAACCTTACAGTGTGAGACTAAAAACTCTGTGACTTATGACACATTGTCTTTAGATGTGAGAGGGTTTCAGACTTTAGTCTTTGCAAGGTCTTCTAGTGTATGGCAGACATCAGGAGCTCAGAACACACCTTACATGAAGAAGTGACACACAGAATACAGCACTCTCATAATAGTAGCTTTGTATATGAGTAAAGCAAATAACATCAAAATAATTTGTACTTGTAAATTGACCCTGTGTGTGTTCATGTGTGTCTGAACACACGCAAACACATATTTCGAGTGTGTATTGTGATTAACGCCGGGTCATTTCTTCACTTTACAAAACAAACTCCCAGGAAGTGGTTTGAGTGGCAAGTGAAGCTGGGAGGCAGGGAAACAAAAGCCAGCGAGGCCATTGATCATCCACTGAAAGACCTTTTAGGCCCTCAGATGGCGGCCGTGTCAGTGTTTTCAGTATCCAGCTCCAGCTCTTTAAGTGTCTACTTGTTGAAATATAACCAGATCTTCAAGTGTCTGCTCATTAACTTGCACACAGGTTTAATAGCTGCCGCGGAACAGTGTGACCTTCTGCATTTCAATGGCAGCTGTTAAGCAGGTACACAGGGGTTTAAAAAATGACAGACGCCAGCATACACAAACACACATAAAATAGTCGGTGGAACTATGATCTCTCTCTCAGTTATATCCCTGAAAAAAACACAGTTAAAAGAAAACAGCTCCATGCGTTTGAAGATTTGTAAGACGATGAAGAGCACTGGACAGATTTTTCTTCTAATCTATGATCTGCATCAGAACGAGACACGGACGTCCATATGCCACACAGACATGTCCCACTTTACCTGAAGATGAAGATGAAAAGCATGAGCAGCATGCAGAAGGTGGCCACGTTGTCCATGGTCTTCATGAGGACCACCAGCTGTCTCCTCAGGGCTGGCATGAACCTCACCAGCTTCAGCACCCGCAGCAGCCTGAAGGTCCTCAGCACAGACAGACCGCCGTCAGACTGGCCGACGATCTCACACACACTGGTGAGATTAACACAGACCACCGTTCATAAGAGAAACAGTGCTAAGTTATGAGAATTCAAAGTGCACCATTTACATAAAAACACATATATTCAACCCTTTGTCAGTTGATTAGGAACACCTAGCTAAAACAAAGTCACATACAACAGTCCTGTAATAAACCCTCCCTTCATCAAGGTTATAATGTTCAGTTTATGTTGAAACCGTGTTAAAGAGGTGTTAATTCAACTGTAACAACCACCCCATTCACATACTGGAAAGCCGCTTGTGTTAATTAGGCCATTTCAGTTTTTACTTAATCAAATGTTGACAAAATGATATTAGCTGAATTTATCTTTAATTCTCAGGCTACATAAAGAAAGCTTGGTTTATCTTGTCTTGCAGTAATGAATGTGTCCACTTAAGGTTATCTAAGTTTCCTTAAGCTCTTGCTTGAATACTTAATGGCCTTAATGGCTGTTTGCTGCCTCAGAATGAGCACAGAAGACGGATCACAGAAGTTATGCTGTTCCTTTATGTTCTGGTGGACATTTATCATGAGCAGAGATCCATTCACTAGTGGAAAATGCGGCTTTAAAGAAATTTGCCTTCTAATGGAGGTGGCTATCAAAGGCTTCACCCAGCACATCAAAATAGCATCGGCTATGCACTGGTAAAGATTGAATAGTGGTATTTTCACAGGGCAGCTTCGTATGAATAGCTGAGGACATTCAGATAGATGAAGGGAGGGAAATTGGTGGCGGAGCGAGACATAAGAAGACAGATATAGATATGTTCAATCAACATGTATCTTCTGTGACGGGCTACACATTTGATCTTGTTCAGTTTTAGTTGCTTTGATGTGTATTTGATCTCAGGGTTATAATGGGGATCACAGAATAAGGTGCTCAGCCAGATGAATTGAAAACCCCCCCCCAAAAAAAAACAGTGGATCAAAGGCACAGCCACTCACCTGAAAGCTCCAAGCACAACGCAACAAAAGACAAAAAAACCTGCTTGCTGCCGTCTGACTTTGGCATCCAAATACGTACAGGTGGTACATTTACACCAGGTAGAACACAGGTGACAATCCCACAGTGCATCACGTGAATAATTTAACTGACAAACCAAAAGCAGTGTGTGGCCAAATAACTGTCAATATCAGTCAATATTTCAGAAACATAATCGTTTTGTCCTCCAAAAGCCACTTCTCTTTTGATTTCTCCTTTTTCTGCCAAAATACAGCAAAGTCAGGGCACTTAATACTACTTAATAAACTAAATAATGCACAAATGTTGGCCTGAAATCTCAAACTTCAGAAAAATAACACTGATTTAACAGCATACGGCAATACTGTAAGTCTGGCATGCAATAAGTATAATAAGTACATCATTTTTTAAGTAAACAATCCAAATAAATGCATGTTTTACACCATTTCTGTACCTTATGATGACGATGACTCCATCAAAGACATTGTAGGGGTTTCGCAGGTAGCTGAATGAACCGAAAGCCGTCAGTTTGAGGATCATCTCCAAGGAGAACATGCTGGTGAAGACGATGTTGCAGATCTCCAGAACATTGGTGAGCTCCTCTGGCTGACAGAGAAAATAAAAAGAGGAGAAGTTGGAAAATAAAAAAGAGGAGGGAGAGAGAGAGAAGATAGGAAGAGAAGAGTTAAAAGCAGAAAAATGAAAGACTAAATATCTATTGCTGCACCTTGCAGCTGTAAGGCTCAAAAGAGAAAGCCTTTGCTTCTCTTGGACCCTGACAGCTTTCTCTGCAAAATATCAATTCTGCACGGCACCAGAGGAACAGTCATGTTGTTATTGCAATGATTTATTGATGAAATGAAATTTCTTACTTTCATCTCTCTAATTTCTACTTTGGGAACCCTCAAATGTGCTTTTAGAATTATAGCATCCCATGTGAACATGCTAGTTATCACGTTAACATGCTAACACTCTGAATGTGAGCATGCTACGTAGCAAGATTTTATGTTTACATTAAGTTCAAAGCTGATTGTTATAAGCTAATTTGTTTGTAAATAAACATGCTAAATTCTGCTGTTAACATTTTAACATGCTAACATGCGGTGCATAGCATTAGTATGTTAGCCTGTTAAGATTTTGCATGTTGTATCAGTCTCAATTTAGCCTGTTAGCATGGTTACCTTTGGCTAACATTCATACAGTTATAATGGTGATGGGATTTGGTCATTATTTACAGGCTTGACCTGCCACGAAACCATACAGCCACCAAAATGGCTAAAATCAGAGAAAAAAAAAGAGAGACTAAAAACTAAGGAAAGGAAGCTGGCAGAAGAAACAATGAAAAGGGAGTAACAGAAAGGAAAATGGGTAGAGACGGGGTAATGGGGGAAGAAATGAGAAGCAGGAGGCTACAACAAAAAACGGAGGAAATAAAATGTGAGTGTGGACATTACAGTATCTGCGGGAACATTGTGGTCTGGTTGTACATCCATAAATAACAAGCAGTCCCAGTCAATCAATACTTTGGCGGAAATAAGGTTATCGTTTAGTGTCACTCATACACACATTTAGAGCACACACATGCAGCGTGATAAACATGCACATCTGAAAGTCGTCTCCACGCGGCTGAGTTCTCGCTTTCTCTCCATCTGTCCGTCTGGTGTCTTGTTTTCTTTTGCTTCCTCACCACTTTGTCGAGTTATCAGCCATTTTTCTCACCGTGGATCGAATAGTCCAAATTGATTGGTGGAAAGGGCAAGGAGGAGGACAAAAGCTTATACACATAACCACACTCACACACACACACACACATGCATGTGCAGCAGTAGGGAGAACTAGAAAACTGTACTGGCTAGGTGCAGTTTTAGGGTATTACTGACAAATACAGTGACAAGCAATAAAAAAAAAAAAGCTGGCATGTTGTTCAAATATTGTCTGCTCTGCCAGTCCACATCCCTACTGTTTGCTCCTTTCCAACTCAGCAGCAGGTAGCAGGCAAACAAAACATTACACATTTTGTCATCAATTATGGATGTTGCAGATGCTTCCATTAGAAAAAGGTCCAACATTTTTTACTCCCTCCACCGTGAAAAACGAACTGAGAGACTGAGAATTTTTGCTTCCCAAGAATAGTCTGGAAAAGCTATGATGTAAGTTCAGTTTTGTTAACACTCAACATTGGTAGGAACAGCTGGATGTATTTATTTTTTGCCTTCTACCATATTCCTTTACAATATAATTCATTTTCCTTTACTTGCTGTCACTCTCACATTGTTAATGCGGATCAATGTCTGTCTTTTCAGCTGCCTTTGACATTATTTGAGTTCTTCTCCCTCTGTCTGCCTTTCTGTTTCTGTCTGGCTTTGCTCAATATAAGGAAGAAGACACACATGCACACACACACACACACACACACACACACACACACACACACACACACAGAGCTAAATTTGGCACAATCATGATTTCCAGCACATCACTATTCCACACAGCCCCTGTTTAACTTCAACAATGACACTTCTGACATTTCACCACCCCACATTCAATGAGCACTGTGTGTTTTGCATTTACATGTATATCTATGTGCATGTGTGTGTGTGTGTGTGTGTGTGTTTGTGTGTGTGTGTGTTTGTCAGTACTAATGAGTGTTTAGCAGTGTGAAAACACGGGCTAATGATGCGTGCCCACCAGTGTCGGTAACGATGTGACGGCTGACCGCTGTTTGCAGACCAGCCGAACAGCATTGGCAGCCCCTGGAGATCCATTACTGCTGTCTCATTACTGCAGACCTGGGAACAGATCTAAAGACTTGTGTTTTCCGGTCGGCTGATGGTATGGTATGAAATAAGAGGAGTGGGGATTTGATGTCACACTGAGGACTCGCAGTTGATTTGGGAAAGTGAACAGTATGTACTTCTGAAGTGAACTAAACTAAAAGTTTAAAAGAAGACAGCTGCAATAACCGAACCAGTATGAGACCTAAAGAAGAAAAAGGCTAATTGTAAATGCTATGAAGCTAATATTAATGAACAACACTGCTGTGTGTATGCTCAGCAGCTGGACAAATAATGCTGCCCCTAAAATGTGCCTCCATACACAAGGATGGCTTACTTTTTTCTACCATGCATTGATCATTTCAAAATTAAAGCGCAATATGGCTGACGCACATTACCACTGGAATGGTATTTAAAATGCAGATGCAGAAAGATAATTCTGCCCACTGTGTGCCTTGTATTGTATGAGCAGCACATTTCAAACATGCATTAATCAGCAACTGTACTCAAGCATAAGCAGGCGTCACTTGTGCTGCTCTGATCTGATCAGTATCAAACTTATTTTTAGGTTAGATTAGAGAACTCATATTAAGCAATGAGACGTGTGACCTTCTTAAAGGCAAATGCTATGTGGATCAGCACCTCTCGGCTACTGTTCCCTGAATACTTTTTCTATCTATATGATGTATCCAGTGTGTGCTACAGGCATCTGTTGATGCTTGTCAGATGATGCACTTCGGGGGAGGTGGATGGATGGGTTTACAGTGTCTGACCTTGACACAAAAATATGCCGTTTGCATCCTGTCTCCTACCAACAGTCAACACGGGCTTCTTTCAAACATGGCTGTGATCTAATTTTCTTAACAAATTATTTTTGAATACTCTGACTTGCTTTTGCTTATAATTACCGAATACTGTTGATTTCTGCTGTTAGATATTTTCAATTTGCACATGATCCCATCCCGTCCCAACAGATTCTAAAAACTGAGTATGTGGGTGTTGTTAGATATTTCGACTGTGACCGTTGCTGCACTGGCAACATCAAGCTGGTCATTTCCTTCGCTTTT